AAAAAAATAAATAAACGGATCATCCTGATAACTTTTGATCTAATGATCAGATCTTCACTTTCTTCTCATCTCAATGGTTCAAGGGGTGACTTAAAATATGATAATTAATAGGTGCAGGTATGATATTTTAAGTTACGAAATCAGATACTAAAACGTACTTTCTCTGAAGTTTCTGTTTATACATGCCATTTTTTCGACGGATTTGGATTTCTGGATCCCAAAATTTAGGGGATAATCGCAATCTGAGAAGTACCTAGAGAGATTTTCAAGCAAAGTGAAAAAAAATTCTACGCAATTATAAAGGTCGTTTATACTTGTGTAAATTAAGTTGTTTTTATGGAAAAAGAAAAATATGAATCATTGAAATATTCGAGAAGATGACTTTTTGCATCTTTATGAAAATACATTATAAGAATGCTTAGCCTTCATAACTAAACAGGCTCTAGTTTTTCAATACATTAGATGCTTATTGTTTTTTTTTTGTTTTTTTTTTTTAAATATACTCTTAAAATAAAGATAATTATTTAATGAAAAAATATTATTGTGATTATCACTTTATTGATAACTTTTTCTTTCAGGTTACTAAACTCTTGTAATGATTGGGTTATAAACAACAAATTATAACATTAATATTATTTTGCTACCAGAAATAAATATATAAATGGAGGACACATTATAAACCCATTTAAAAATAGTATACCAATTTTTTTCAAGCAATGTGATATGGGGTGATATAAATGTAATGTAAGTGATATATATTGTTAAACACTTAAAAATTAAAAGAATAGTATTTATATAAAATTAAAAAAGTAGTATTTGTTTAATCTATTTTTTTTTTTTAAAAAAAGGAAGAAAATGGCAATCTGAAAAAAAAAGAAAAAATATAGGAGAAAGATTTGCAAAATTTTGTGCCCGAGAAATAAGGAAGAAGTTGATTCAATTTCAAAGTCAAAGACAGTTTGATAAATATTAACTGAATATAGTTTAAAAAATTAAAAACAAACATGTCTTTTAAAATTAGATGAAAGAATTTCAATTTGCAAGTAGAAGGATTATTGCAATTCACATTTAAAGCATTAAAATATATTTAAAATTGTGACTGAATATACTTCTGTAACTTAAGAGTACAAAAAAAAAAAAAAAATGCCAACAACTGATGATATGCTTCTTAACCATTCAAAGGAGAAAAAAAAGATCAAACTTTTACAAGTGGTTAAATTCAAAATTTATCTATTAATATCTAATAAAAAGAAAAGTATGTTACTTTAAGAATGTTACTTACTTAATATATACAAAATTATTTACCTATCGCAATAAGTTTTCAGGAAATTTAAAAAATTATGTCCCCAATAACGTTTAAAATTTTAACATTTATCTTTTTTTAATTACATATTAATTTTAATAAAGCATTAACGAATATTTAATTATACAATATAAAATTATTAATACAAATTATTAATATCAGATTATTACATTTATTTAAATATTTAGGAAATGATTACTTACAATCAAGGAAAAAAATCTTACCACTTAAATAGTTGAATGAATTAAAACCTATCTGAAAAAAATGTAACCTATCAAATTAGATTATAAAATTCCAAAATAGACTATAAATATTTATTTTCTTGAATTAAATTTTGAAATAACAACAAGAATGAGCAGAATTGTTCATTGGAGTGTGAGCACCTAACAACCTACAATTACGTCTGTCTTTATTTTTCAAAACAGAGGGTTATATTCATTGTTAAATCCCTTCATTGGTTCAAATTAGTTGATGAGCCAGACAGAAGCACCTCCCATTTTTAGTATTTCACACTTTTGTGGAGGTGATTCCCACCATGGATGACAAATATTTCCTGTTTTGGAAGGATTTACGCTAATTTACAGCAGGGGTTCTTTTTGAAATCTAATCAACAGATCCAGAAAATGTTTTTCAAAGCGATTTTAACCCCTGATGAAACTGAAGATTTACAAGCATGAGACACCCTATGGATTTTACATTTCTCTGTCCTCTGGTCATCACCAAAGATCTATCTCTGTCTGAAGGGGTTCCCTGGTTAATTGCCTTTTTAGAAGGACTGCAATCTTGTAATGTGATACGAAGAGGAAAAACAAATTCTTTTCTCTTTGCTTGTGGTAGTGGAAAAATAAAGAAAATAAAAATTTATTCAGGGATCATGGATTCTCTGCATTCTGGTCTTTCTCTTATCTTTTCTTGTTTAAGAATGGGGGACTTCTTCAAAAGAAAGAGTAAAGTTACAGTGGGATGCACTATGGGAGGTCTCACTTTCCTTTAGATAAGGAGAAAAAGTTTCTTTACATTTCTCACCCACTTTTGAACATCCTTAAATTCGTTCGCTCGCCTTTCATTTTCTTTTAGTCTCTTATATTTTTACTCAATTTTTTCATATACACTGTTAGAAATTTCTAGGAAAAGATGGTTAAATAACAATTTATTTCATTGTTATTTCACCATATTCAAACGTAACAGTCAAATCACCATAAATAATATGGTAATCAAACTGTTGACTGTGAAAAAAATCGTTAATTCACTGCTTTCACATAATATGGTCAAACAACCAGAATTTTATCGTACCAACTAAGCCAACCTACACTGTTAGAAATTTTATAGAAAAATAGTTTCCAAAACAGTAGAATAAACGTAAAAAATATGGCATTCAAATAGTTAACATTGAGAAAAACCGTTGATTGATTATTTTAACCAAATACGTTAAAACAACAGTAAATTTATTCGCGCCATCTAGGTCTTTCGCCATAGAGAAGCGTTAGAAGCTCAAAGCTCATGCGATAATGGAAATATAAATATTATTCCATATCGCGTGAGCTTTGATGGGATGCATGGGATCTCCATCGAGCAAGACTAATAAGATACAAAAAGTAAGTATTTCATCATCAATTATTTCATGTTATTATATATTGTATTTAAGTTTGAATCCCTCGTAAAAATGTAATTTTGAGTACATATGTTCTTATGCAGTGTCAAGTGATAAGTTATTTTTTTCTGACAGCAACTAATTTGTTTTGATCGTTATATTATTACTAAAAAACTTAAAATTTAAATCGCTAATGCTGTAATATTTTCATAATGTGCTTAATTTAACGCTGTTGCCCTTCAATATTCTACTAGCAATGAACTTTGATTTTCGAATGAAAACACAATTCTGAATTAAATATATTATAACTATTAAAGTTTATTCATTGCATAAGAAATATTATTCGTTAAAGTCTAATACAGTGTTTCCCAACCTTTTCTGTACCATGCCCCACCTAAGCCTTTCTAAAATTCTTAAGCCCCCTCCCCCCTATGTAACATATACATAATTTTAATATAAGAAAATCGAATTGTTCATTTAAGAAACTTAGGAAATTGTTAACGAAACAAAATAAGTAAATTTTCAAAACATATAATGAAAAATTCAAATTCGAAATAATTTTAATAAATCCAGTGATGCCGGTGAGGTGCTACTTTTTGATGACCAGCCAGACACGGAGCTGCCACTAACTTATTTTGTATTATTTTGTAAAAGAAATTTTTTTAAAATAGACTTAACTTGTAGCTAAATAACATGTCTCAGCATTGTCTCTATTACCTAAAAAAAATTCAGGAAAAACGTTAATATTTTACCATCTCGGAGTGGGGTCCTCCCCTAAACAATTAATTTGCAATAGATATCTAATTGTTGCGATATAAAACTTTAAAAAGGTTGGTATTGAAACTTACATAGTAACACACAAAATGTTCAATGAGAAAATTGAGATTTGTCTGCTGCATCCACCAGAGAATAGATATTTACATTTTAAATTTAAAAATTTACAAATGTGTGTGTCAATATTTTCGTCCAAAATGAGTGGTTTCAAAAAGTTAAATCGGAGAATTTCTTCGAGAAAATTTCTGATACACACATGCTAAATTATATTCACAAAATATAAAAAATGAAGTAAAAAAGAGATACACGATTATTTTTGTATTTGAATAAATATTTTCTTGGATGCAGAACCTGAGAAATAATTGTTTTTTGCACCGTTGGTATAAATTTCACAGAAACACGGTTTCGAAGAAATTAGGTTTTTATTAACGAGAAAAGTATTTTAAACCCATATAGATTTTTTAAGAAAATTGTCCGCAAAAAAATGAGAACTAATATATTTTAATTCACGGGCCACAAAAAAAAAGGCTTCGCAGGCCGGATGCTGCTCCCTGGCCGCCAGTTGGAAACCACTGATCAAAATCGAGAGGGACATTTTCTCTCCCTCCTTATAAGGTCATAAATTAGAATTTATTATATTTTGTGATTATATTATTTCTGTTTCATGACAAAACAATTAATATGCACATTGATTTTTTGGAAACAAAAAAAGTAAATATTGTATAATTAAATACTCGTTTATGTCTTATTATTAAAATTAATATGTAATAAAAAAACAACGAATGTTAAAATTTCAAATGTTATTAGGAACATAATTTTTTAAGTTTCCTGAAAAATAATTGCGATAAATAAATATTATTGTGTATATTACGTAACATTCTTTACATTCAGCAAATGACGCCAACTATTGAGAAATGTTTTTCTTTCTATTTATTAATAGATAGATTTTGAGTTCAACTACTTATAAAAGTTCGATTTTTTTGGATTAAGGAACATATCATCTGTTGTTGACATTGCTT